CCCCAAAACCCCAAAACCCCAAAACCCCTTAAGGTCAAAATTTGAGCATTTTAAAAACAATTTATTATATTAATAATTAAATGTCTAAGATGAGTTAGTGCAAATATTGCAATTAAGTATTGACAATTTTTAATAAAGAGCATCATGAAAGAAACTGTAGACAGATAAACTCTCATTCATTTTAGAAAATGGAAATAGATTCTAAAGAAGCAAATGATTTCTATTTAAACTCATAAATGCTCAATTAAAATTCGATTTAATCCAACTCCAATCATAATCAATAGCCCTTTTAAGATCATAGATCTTATCAAACCAATACATTTGATCAATAAATGAAGAATAGCACTTAATAGATAGATAACTAATAGAAATAAAATAGTTTGTTATTAAACAGGGAATATGGATATAAAATACCCACTCAAATATCTACATAAAATGGAGCAGTAGATAGAGACTCATTTGATTTTGGTTTGCAGAATCCTCGGGGTTCACAGAATTGCTTCTTAAATGTTGTCATCTAAAGTTTATATAGACTTGATTTTTTCAGGGAGTCATTTTATTAATAGAGTATTGAGAGTCCATTCTTTGATTTCGAGGTTGTCTATGAATTAAAAGTAAGAATTTTTGGATTTTTATTAATTTTTAAGAAAATGTTCAACGAAATTGAGACTGCCAGAATGAATACAATAAGTGGAAATTCAGAGATTTTTAATCCCAACAAATTAAGACAAGAATTGTATTAAAAATTCAAAGCATAGAATCTATTCCCTCTAAATGAAAAAGCTGATGCTATTGAAGCATTTAACTAAATCATAGAGTTGGTTCATTTATTCTGCCTTGAATCTTAATTAGAATTTTTAAACTGCTATGATCACAAAGATCTTCGAGGGTCAAAGTCAAGAAAGAAGGCATGCTTTGTTCATTAAGGATTTTAGATAAACTTGTTTCAGATTAAGGAATGCAATTGTCCAGAAATGCAATCCCTGGTAAAAAGATACGATCAAATAAATTTCAACCAAATCGTATATGTGAATGACCTGATTAATCTTATTGAAAATACTAAGGGCAACAATCCTAACATATATAACGACATGAGTGGTTATTTATTCCATGCCATTAAATTGACACTGGTATGATTTTACTTTAATCTTTATCTTATCTTTAGAATGAGGAGAAAAGTTAATGTGATCAGTGTTAAACTAAGGATTGCATCACCTAACAAATACTGGAAGTTCCTTTACCAAAGATTTTAGTCTTAAATCTGATTTGGAGCTAGGTTACCTGCTTAGACCTAATGAAATTCTTTATCACTCTTCCATACTATGCAAATATCAATAATCTCTATCAAGGATACCAGACTATCAATCAGTAATAATAGTTCCCTTAATAAGCACTTTAGGATGTACGAGATTAAGGGGATAGTATTTTTCAGATATGATCATTACTACTGCTACTTCCAGCAGAATGGTGTTTGGAAAATATATGATGATTAGCTTATACTTGTCGTAGATAACTTTAAGTAACTCTGTTTTGATGCTATTAGAATTAAATCATCTCCTGTCATTGTGTTTTATCAATAGACTGATAAGCCTGTGGAAAGTTAGTCCTTACTTAACATAAATGAAGTCTAAGAAATGATAGAATTAGCTAAGCAGAGATAAGCTTAAGATGACATGCAAGAGAGTTGGAGTTAAAGACCTCCATAGTATTATTATGATAAATCTGGAGATTTCATTATGGACGATGATAATCATTTTTTCGATGACTATTAAAATAGAGAATCGACATATAGGTTAATCAATCCAGATCCAATAGGCAGCAATAGTAATCATTTTTAAAGAAATACAGAGTATGATTAGCCTAATAGAGACAGTATAGGCAAATAAATGCATGACTAATCAAATCCCACTACTACTTAGGATAACATAAAACAGGGATATTTGTCTAGAAGGTTTTCCTAGAATAGTAGGATGATATAGCCAAGTTAACAATCAAGAACCAGATTAAATCCATTGAATAATCAAGATGAAATATAGTAGAATAATATTTTGTTTAGGGAATCATCATAGAATTTCAACTCATAGAGATAATCTATTTCAAGGAATACAGATCTAATTTTTGGAAAGAATCGCATAGGATTAAGGTAAACTGAATAATTAGCTTAGTAGGTGTAGTTTTCATAAATGCCAAAGGACTCTAAACACCTATAAGGATAATTTTCCTCATTTAAACAACCAGTGGCATTATAGAGAGATTTAAATAGAAAAAATCCATTTGGTCTAAGAGATAAAGAAGAATAAAGAGTTGAGAAAAAAGAAATTTTTCCGAATTAATAATACCAAAGAAATTTCTCCTTTGGCAAGAAATATGATATTTAGATAGGACCGACTGAGAATCTATTATCCAGACAAAACAGTTTAAATAGCTAAGTCAGATATAGGGGATAGAGATGCTCCATTTGCTAAAATGATTATGCTTTACCCAATCTGAGAACTTGCAGGCTATGTACAAAAAGAGATGACTTAGATCAGAAACAGTCAATTTACGGGTCAAAGAAGACGATTGAGGAAAGAAGAATTTTACCAGAAAATCATTTCTCTAGGGCAAACAATAATGAGAGTGGTTACTTACAGATATTCAGTAGATGCAGGAGACGAAGAGCAGATGGAAGATATAATCCTGATATAAACGATAAATGTCAATATTGCAATAGAGAGGTATCAGAGTGCGATTAGGGAAGCATGGGCTCGTGTGTCCTTAATCAGTGCAATATATTTTGAATCCTCAGCAATATGAATTTAATATGCTTAATTTCTTAATTTATCCTTTCAATTTATTACCTTTAAAACACTGTGGGGTTTTGGGGTTTTGGGGG